ACGTTGTTGCTGCTGCTGCTGCTGCTGTGTTCGTTTTGTTTTTTTGTTATACCGTTTTCACGGTGATTCAGAATTAATTAATTTTCTTATGAATTGGCGGCTATTTCTGCTTTGGTTCGTAAATAAATTGGCATTGTAATCTTTTTACAAAGCAAAAAGTTATTAGAGAAAGAAATTTAAGTTTGAATTCATTTAGGTACAATTTAAATTGGTCGGCGTTAATGTTTTAGTATCCATTGTTGTTTGAAATTAAGTACCCTACTGAGTGCGTACTTTGAATTAAGTAATATTGTTTCAAAACGCATTTTCTTCTTTGTTTTCTCCAACAGTTTTCAAGTGAAAATTAGATATGTGACATTATGTCTATGTAATTCATGCCGAAAATAAAGCTAAAATGGGGTACCATACCATAGTATAAAGATATTCTGTACAGAACGGTCATTCTCTTTATTTAACTTAAAATGCCGGCGTTTTTGCAGGCGGTCATAAATCAGTTTTATGTGCGCTGAGCCGCCATATACGAGGACGATACGTTAGCTTTATCAGGATGTATAGATGCACTGTGGGTTCACGATAACACTCAGTACAAAGCAACCCTTGCTTAGTCAGGAAAATTTTCCCCTCACTTCTTGTACAGACCTTGTAAATACATAAAATGTAAATATATATACAAGCGCAAGGGTCTTATCGGGTTCATGTTCACACATTTGTCTGTAGCAATGTGCAAATTGGTGAAAATTTAAAGAGACAATATATTCTTGCTTAAGTGTCCAAATGAAAATGTCAAATTAAGTAGAAATCGGGATATGCAAACTGAACTTATTCCGGCACTATCTGCCAACAGTAACCGTTAAAATGTGCAGCATGATATTAAAGCGGAATTTATTACTTAATTAATGTCATGCATTAAAATAATTCACGATCGTAAAAAGGACACTTCGGGTAGGTATTAAGCACCTCTACCCAGCGTGTAATAAAGAGTGCGATTTGTTATTGTTCTAAACCTGTAAGGCGCCCAGGGAGAGATAAATGGGAAGGATGTTTGGTGAAGGCATTAGAGAGTAGAGTATGATTTGTAGTTTCCCTTTACGGTGGTATGATATTCTATGTTTCATTTTCCTATATATATATATATGTTGAAATCGAGTGTAGGAATACCAAATTGCCTTCCACTGTTGGAATAATCATTTGTTCTATTGGGATCCGTCAAATGGGAGGAGCCTAAAAACATGGCGTCGATTAGGGAAAATTTATCGTAGTTCCTATAGTGTACCGTGCAATTTCCAAGTTTTTAAATTACGATAAAATGATAAGTATTGACACAATATGTGATTGGGCTGACACAAAGCCTCGGAAAGGAAATTT